ACTGAGCCATGATCATGTGACTGCACTTCACCCCGGATGACAGAGGGAGACTTTGTCTCTACAAATAAATAAATGAACAATAAAGGTGTTTTTTAAGGCCAATGCCTTAAAAATTTTTTAAGGCCAATGCCTTGTAATAATTTGTTATGCAGTCTTATAAAATTCATACACAGGCTCAACAGACTCATGGAATGAACTGATGAATTGATATACACACTAGTTACATAAAATAAAATCTTGCTTAACGTTTTCAGTGTTTTACATTTTGTAGTTTTCTGTGGTGCATTTTAATACATGCATATTTTAATCATTCAGTCAACAAAAATTAATTTAGTGCCTACACTAAACCAAGTATGCCCTCACTTGCTCACGTGCCTGACGTTCTAGAAGCTTCACAAGACTGAGGTGGAGCCACTGGGGTTTTTTACAGGGAGAAATAAGAAACTCTGACTCACAGTAGCAGGACCACTGTGGAGAGAACAGTCACGTAGCAGATAATGGGACAGTGCTAGAGTCACTATTCAGGAGTGACAGGGTGGTGGGGCCTAAGGGGAGAGGAGGGCCTGAGGGATGAGAGGGACGGAGGGAAGGGCTGAGAAGCAGGAGGTGAGGAAAAGAAGCAGAGGGAAGGAATTCCAAAGCAGCAGAATTCTTAGGTTTAAACACATTGCTTTATAGATTTTTAATACATCCATTTAGAGCCTCTCAGGGTGTTCTTTGCAGTTGGGCTTTAATATCTTATGTAGGTCTGCCTAAAACCTAATTGTTTCTTATGTTAATCAGGTTTAAAAAATACTAAGTGTTCCTATAAAATAAACACACCATTTAGATGTGGACACTTCCTAAAAACAGGCAGGGCATGAGCACTGGTGAGGGGCATTGTGACTGCACTGAACACCTGTGACTGTGAGGTGAATGAAGTCTGTACTGGCTCCTGGTTGTAACATACGTAACACAGTGAGCTACTCTGTACTGAGGAGATGTCCTGGAGTCACACAGAAACTCAGGGCTGTGGAATGAAGGTATATTTAAAATACAAGAAGCGGGAGTCACAGATACATTTTCTGGGAAAGTGAAACAGGAGCTTTGTGGGTCCTGCTGCAATGCTTTTATTTATTTTTTTTTTTTTGTATTCATTTTTTCTTGCCTTGTCTCAGATGAGAGCTTTTAGACAGATTTATATATCAAAGGGCCAAAGTCACAATTTTTACCGATTAGATTCCTGATCATTCAGGGGTTACCAAGATTCTTCTATCCATTGTAGTTAATAAAAAGCAAACTGGTCTCTATGCTATCTCAGGCACTCAGGCGAAATTTTTCCAGACTTGAAGAAGGAAAAAAAAAAAACCCTGGCTCTACACCTCCATTCCCAGGGCGAGCTCACTCTCTTGGCAGCAGGCTTCCGGGGGTGAGTTTTCTTCTAGAAGAGTCCAGGGGACAGGTAAGGAGTGGGAGGCAGGGAGTTCAGTTCAGGGACCGGAATGCAGGGATGAAAAGTGAAGGGAGAGGGACGGGGCCCATGTCGAGGGTTTCTCTCTGGTTTCTCAGCAGCTCCTGGGCCAAGACTCAGGGAGACATTGAGACAGAGCGCTTGACACAGGAGGAGCGGGGTCAGGGCGAAGTCCCATGGCCCCAGGGGTGGCTCTGACGGTATCAGACCCCGAAGGCGGTGTTTGGATTGTGGAGGCGCAGCCTTGGGGATTCCCCATCTCCGCAGAGTTTCTCTTCCTCTCCCAAACTGTTTCGGGTCCTTCTTCCTGGTTACTCACGACGCGGACCCAGTTCCCACTCCCATTGGGTGCCGGGTTTCCAGAGAAGCCAATCAGCGTCCCTGCGGTCCTGGTTCTAAAGTCCCCAGTCACCCACCTAGAGTCAAATTCTCCCCAGACGCCGAGGATGACGGTCATGGCGCCCCGAACCCTCCTCCTGTTGCTCTCGGGGGCCCTGGCCCTGACTGAGACCGGGGCGGGTGAGTGCGGGGTGGGGAGGGAAACGGACTCTGCGGGGAGGAGCGCGGGGCCGCCAGGCGGGGACGCAGGACCCGGGAGCCGCGCCGGGAGGAGGGTCGGGCAGGTCTCAGCTCCTCCTCGCCCCCAGGCTCCCACTCCATGAGGTATTTCAGCACCGCCGTGTCCCGGCCCGGCCGCGGGGAGCCCCGGTACATCGAAGTCGGCTACGTGGACGACACGCAGTTCGTGCGGTTCGACAGCGACGCCGCGAGTCCAAGGATGGAGCCGCGGGCGCCGTGGGTGGAGCAGGAGGGGCCGGAGTATTGGGACGAGGAGACACGGAAAGCCAAGGCCAACGCACAGACTGACCGAGTGAACCTGCAGACCGCGCTCGGCTACTACAACCAGACCGACGCCGGTGAGTGACTCGGGCTCGGGCGCAGGTCACGACCCCTCCCATCCGCCACGGACGTCCCGGGTCGCCCAGAGTCTCCCGGTCCAAGATCCACCCGAGACTGCGGGACCCGCCCAGACCCTCGACCCGGGAGGAACTCGGGCGCCTTTACCCGGTTTCATTTTCAGTTTAGGCAAAAATCCCCGCGGGTTGGTGGGGCGGGGACCGGGACTTTTGCCTAAACTGGAAATGGGAGGAGCTGACGCGGGGGCGGGGCCAGGGTCTCACACCTTCCAGGTTATGTACGGCTGCGACGTGGGGCCGGACGGGCGCCTCCTCCGCGGGTATGACCAGTATGCCTATGACGGCAAGGACTACATCGCCCTGAACGAGGACCTGCGCTCCTGGACGGCCGCGGACGTGGCGGCTCAGATCACCCAGCGCAAGTGGGAGGCGGCCAATGTGGCTGAGGAGTGGAGAGCCTACCTGGAGGGCACGTGCCTGGAGTGGCTCCACAGATACCTGGAGAACGGGAAGGAGACGCTGCAGCGAGCGGGTACCAGGGGCCAGGGGGAACCTCCCTGATCACCTGTAGACCTCCCGCTGGCCTTGCAGAAGGAGGGGAGGAAAATGGGACCAACACTCGAATATCGCACTCCCTCTGGTCCTGAGGGAGAGGAATCCTCCTGGGTTTCCAGATCCTGTACCAGAGAGTGACTCTGAGGGCCCGCCCTGCTCTCTGATACAATTAAGGGTTGCAGTCTCTGAGGGAAAGCAGGGAAAGTCAATCCCAGGAATACTGATCAGGCGTTCCCTGTGACCCCACAGCTGCACTGGGCACCAGCATTTTCCTCTCCTGCCTTGTCCTCTGCCTCACACTCAATGTGTGCGGGGGTCTGACTCCAGCTCTTCTGAGTCCCTTAACCTCCACTCAGATCAGGACCAGAAGTCCCAGAACCCACTCAGAAACTAGAACTTTCCAAGGACCAGGACATTATTCCAGGTGCCTGTGTCCAGGCTGGTGTCTCGGTTCTGTGCTCCCTTCCCTACCCCAGGTGTCCCGTCCATTTTCAGGATGGTCACGTGGGTGCTGCAGCGGTGTCCCATGAGAGATGCAAGCTGGCTGAATTTTCTGACTCTTCCCTTCAGAGCCCCCTAAGACACACGTGACCCACCACCCCGTCTCTGACCATGAGGCCACCCTGAGGTGCTGGGCCCTGGGCTTCTACCCTGCGGAGATCACACTGACCTGGCAGCGGGATGGGGAGGACCAGACCCAGGACATGGAGCTCGTAGAGACCAGGCCCGCAGGGGATAGAACCTTCCAGAAGTGGGCTGCTGTGGTGGTGCCTTCTGGAGAGGAGCAGAGATACACATGCCATATGCAGCACGAGGGGCTGCCCGAGCCCCTCACCCTGAGATGGGGTAAGGAGGGAGATGGGGGTGTCATGTCTCTTAGGGAAACCAGGAGCCCCTCTGGAGACCTTTAGCAGGGTTGGGGCTGGGGGCTGGGACCTGGGATCAGGGCCCCTCACCTTCTCCTCCTTTCCCAGAGCCGCCTTCCCAGCCCACCATCCCCATCATGGGCATCGTGACTGCCTTGGCTATCCTTGGAACAGTCGCTGGAGCTGTGGTCGTTGCTGTGATGTGGAGGAAGAAGAGCTCAGGTGAGGAAGGGGTGAGGCGTGGGGTCTGCGATTTCTTGTCCCACTGAGGGTTCCAAGCCCCAGGTAGAAGTGTGTCCTGCCTGGTTACTGGGAAGCAGCATCCACACTCATGAGCCGACCCAGCCTGGGCCCTGTGTGCCAGCACTCACTCTTGTGTAAAGCACCTGTGACAATGAAGGACAGATGTATCACCTTGATGACTGTGGTGATGGGGACCTGATCCCAGCAGTCACAGGTCACAAGGGAACGTCACTGCTGAGGACAGTCCTTAGGAGGGCAGTTGGTCCAGGACCCACACCTGCTTTCCCTGTTTTTCCTGATCCTTCCCTGAGTCTTTAGTCACACATTTCTGGAAACTTCTCTGGGTTCCAAGACTAGGAGGTTCCTCTAGGACCTCATGGCCTTGCCACCTTTCTGAGCCCTCACAGGATATTTTTTTCCCACAGACAAAAAAGGAGGAAGCTACTCTCAGGCTGCAAGTAAGTATGAAGGAGTCTGATCCCTGAGATCATTGAGATATTGTGGTCGGGAGCCCATGGGGGAGCTCGCCCAGCCCGCAATTCCTCCTCTAGTGGCGTTTGCTATGGGCTCTGACCAGGCTCTGTTTTTGTTCAACCCCAGGAAGCGAGAGTGCCCAGGGCTCTGATGTGTCTCTCACGGCTTGTAAAGGTGAGATCTTGGGAGAGGAGGCGGCTGATATGTGTGGGGTTTTGGGGGGAACAGTGGAAACAGCTGTGTTATGGGGTTTCTTTGACTTGGATGTATTGAGCTGGTGATGGGTTGTTTAAAGTGTGACTGATATAAATTTGTTAATGAATTTTTTTATAGTGTGAGACAGCTGCCTTGTGTGGGACTGAGGCAAGATTTATCCACACCTTCCATTTGTGACTTCAAGAACCCTAACGTCTCTTACTCCAAAGGCATCTGAATGTGTCTGTGTCCCTATAGACATAATGTGAGGAGGTGGGAAGACCAGCCCAGCCCCGTGTCCACCCTGACCCCTTCCCCACGCTGACCTGCATTCCTTCCCCGGTCACCTTTCCTGTTCCAGAGACCTGGGACTGGGATGTCTCCACCTCTGTCTCAACTTCATGATGCACTGAGCGGTAACTTCTTACTTTCCTATTAAAATTAGAATCTGAATGTAATTTACTTCTTCAAATTATTTCCATGAGACATTGATGGGTTAAATAAAGGAGAAGATTCCTGAAATTTGTGAGACAAAATAAATGGAAGACCTGAGAAACTTCCACCGTCCACGTGTTTCTTGTGCTGATTTGTTGCAGGGCTGGAGAGTTGATGGGACTGAGTCCAGTGGGTGTGCAGGCTACTGTGGGCTTTATGTGGTCACTGCTTGGCTGGGTCATCTTCGCTGCTCCATCATCCTTGGCCCTTCAGTAGAAGCGCGTCCCTGTGACCACAGGGACTTGAGTGTCACCTAGGGTGGTCTCTACACATTGAAGTCCTGTGGTATCTGGAGACAAATTTTCAGACCCCTGTCCCTCTCACCCTCCGTCCAGGTCTCTTTCCTGGATTGTATTTTCCATCTTTCCCCCAACCTTCTTAAACAAACAGATTCTGAAACTTGCAGAGGGGAGGGCTCCCATAGTTTCTCATCATAGGTAACTTTCTGTTGGAACTCTCTTCTGCTCTATCTTCTACTCTTCTTCGTGCCTGAGTCGTAGTGATCCTAGTGCTGCCTCCAAACCAAACTCATGGATTTATAAAGCAGAGTCTAACTAAGATTCATATGTGGTTGGAAAATCAGACCCACAAGCCTAGGGTTATCTTTCCTAAGGGAAAAATATGGTTGTGTGCTGCAGCGTGTGGGAGGAGGGAGGCAGGAAGGGAGGGCACACATGCAGCCCTGGTGAGAAAAGCTCTGGCAGCACTGATGTCAGTGTGAGATGATGTTGCTCTTCAGCTGCCACAGAACGGCATTTGGCCTGAGGCTACATTAATAAAGATATTGCCTTTAAATAAGGAGGTGCCCTTCAGTGATCATTCATTCAACTGACATTTGTTGTCTGCTAGGTATATGACTGCTTTTGCATTTAGAAAACATTTTAGTAAAAACAGAAGAATTTCTAGCCTTCTGGTATATGCGTTCTAGATGCAATCTTATCCAACCTGTGGCTCACAGGCTGCATGTGGCCAAGGACAGCTTCCAATATGAGGAGGTCCCTGCTTATCTGTGGTGGCAGATATGAAATTTTTGCACATACTTTTTTTTCTTGTTTCTATTTTTTACTGCTCATTAGCTGTCATTAGTGTATTTTGTGTGTGGCTCAAGACAATTATACTTCCCGTGCGGTCCAGGGAAGCCAAAAGATTGGACACCTCTCTAGGTAGAATATAGATATAGTATAAGCAGAGTAAGAGCAGAAAATGTTTGAGTTAGAAGGTGGCAAGTGCTGTGGGGCAGGTGATCCAGAGTGTGGGCTGTGGGGACAGAGAGGTGGCTGTTGTGCTGGGTGGTCAGCATGGGCCTCGTTGCAAATGTGACCTTTGAGTGAAGATTTGAGGGATGTGAGGAGCTGTCCACAAGGATGATGGGGAAGCTCTTTTCAGGCAGGAACCTTCAGTGCAGATGCACCAGGGCAGGAAAGTGTCTGTGTTTCTGGAAGGAGGAAGAGGCCAGAAGGGCTGGACAGAGAGAAACTGAAATGAGGTCAGAGGTGTGGCCAGAGCAGAAAGGCCTGGAGGGTGTGGGATGGGTTTTGACCTTTGCTCTGAATGACATGGAGAGTTAGAGGACAGTTTTGAAAACTGGGACATGGTAGGACTTATACTTTGAAAGCTTGTCTCTGGCTGCTGTGCTGAGAACAGAATTGAGAAGTGGGGGACAAGTCAGGCAGTAGGGAAATGGTGGGGAAGGAGTGCAGTATTCCAGGATGGAGATGCTGGTTACCTTGACTGGGGTGTGAGCAGGGGAAATGGTGGGAGTGATGGGATTCTGGATGAATTTAAAGATGGACTTCACAGCACTTACTAATGGATTGTATCTGTGGTGTGAGAAAGAAGAATTAAGGACACCCACAGTGTTGGACTGAGTGAGTAGAAGGGTGGAGCTGCTGTCAGTGGAGATGGGAAGACTCCCGCAGGAGCATATGGAGGAGAGGGCATTGCAAGCATTCAGTGGAGGAGACATGTATGAGGAGTGCAGGTGAGGGGCCGGATGCCTCTGCAGCTACAGCTTCACCATCTAGTTACTATCCTGCTTCCACCTGCTGTGTCTCAGAGCCAGAGCACTGATTCTCCCTGGGCTGTCTGCACAGGTAGGTGAAGGTCAGGGAAGTTATGGTCTGCTGTTGGTTATAATAAGTCATGGATTATTGTGCTTTCTCAGATAATTAAAGAAATAATAAGAGAAATTGTAACTGAAACAGTTATTTGGAAGAGCACAATAATGTAAAGTTTCTTATTCATCTAAAGAAGGCAACAGAAGAAAAATAGTTGAGTGAAAAACAGATAATATTAGAAGGTAGCAAATGACAATGCACAGACTTAAACCCAATGAGGCCAACAATGACATTAAACGTAATGGACTCACACACTCCAATGACAAGACAAATAGTGCAGAGGGGGAAAATAAGTCAATCCATAAATAACCACAGTCTATTTACAAAAGCCATAAATTTCAGTAGAAGATACAGAAAATTTGAAAGTAAAGGATAGAAAAGAAATGCCAGACACACATTCATGGAAACCACATGGAGATGCCATTTAGAGAAATTACAGGACATGAATCTCATGAGACACAGTCAGTGTAGACAGCTCACAATGTCTTTATTTTTCTTCAGAGACAGGGTCTGTTGCCCAGGCTGAAATGCAATGGTGATATTATACCTCACTGTAACCTCACACTCCTGGTCTGAAGTGATTCTCCTGCCTCAGCCTCCCAAGGAGCTAGGACTACAGGTGTGCGCCCCCACAGCTGGCTATAATGTCTCATTTTCTCATGTGATGTGGGTGATCAAGGAAACAATGTCATGCCATGTGTTTGACTTGCAGTAGGTGCACAACGAATATCAGAGGAATGAAGAAATAAAACCACTTAGTAATTCAGGCCATGTCCACATTTACATTTTACAGATGAGGAGCAACATCCCAAACAAGTAAAAAAAAAATAAATGGATTTACATCATCCAGAGCAGAATCGAGAATACATTCTCTGTGCTAAAGGAATCAGAGCTGTACTGAGGTCATAGTGGTACCATGAATAGCTACTAGATTTGGAAGTGACACATTTCAATATATACTAAACAAAGGGTGTGCAAGGGTTAACTGAATGCAGAGATAAAGGAGGAAAATGGATTTGTTAAAAGATCGACAAAATCTTTACTTTTTAAAAGTGGATTTATGTGGACCAAAGCAGGTATTTTAGCCACCCAGTGATGTATGTCTCCAAATCATATTGCAAGTTATAAAAAATGGTGTAAACCTAAAGTTATCACCTAATGGCAAGTCAAGCAGAAAAATATCTTTTTCCCAAAGTAAAATGTTTTTATATGAAGATTTCTAATAATGTACAGTGACATCTAGTGGAGGCAAACTGGTATTACAATTATTAAAATAACTAACAGGTGTCACTCTACTGTCATAATTACGGTGTATACTACCCTCATTAATAATGGTAATCTTAATCCTCGTATTCTAACTCTATATTTTAAAGCCTTTTGTAAAATTTATCTCCTTTCACCTAGAAGCAATCAAACTCCAAGTGGTGCTGAAAACAGAGCCACACATGGTCATGTCATTCTTCTGAGGACTCTTAAATCAACCTCAGGAAAAGCTCCAACTGCTGTCCCCACACGACAACCCCTTCTCAGCAGAAAGTAGCCAAAAATAATCATTGCCCAACACCTTTTAACAGCAGTTACGGTTATCACTCCTGAGGGGAATAATGCAGAAGTTATTAAGAAATTATTTTAGACAGAGAGGATAAAAGAGTTCTCAGTGGAATTTTTCTTTCATAAAAAGAGTCCCAAAACTATTTCTTTTCTAACAGAAAGCCTGAAAAGCTGCAAACTGGAAGCTTGCATATGTAAATGCCGGCAGCTGTACTAAAAGCCAGGTACACCCAACATGGCGGTTCCCCCTCCCTTTTCTTTGTCTACTCATGTGTGAGTTTCATGGCACCAGTCAAAGCCGAGTGTGCAGGTCAGGATGCCAGGCAGGTAGAGGCTACATTTGCATAATAAAAGACTAGGGTGGGAGGGCCAGTTTCTTCACAGGCTATGTAAATGGCACACCTGGTCCAACCAATCTTCTGAGCCCTATGTAAATCAATCACTGCCTCCTAAAGCCTCTCCATAAAGTCGGTTGCATCCCACCCCAAATCCTGAAACCCAATTGGAGCAACCTGTCTTCTCTGTATGATAAAGATTTCTCTCTCTTCTTTGTCTATTAAACTTTCTGCTCCTTAACCTGCTCCACATGTATGTCCTTGTCATTAACCATCACAGGACAACAAGCATGGGTATGTACCCCAAACAGTGCCATTTCAACACCACTGGAGGTGGTGAGTGTGGTGCATTTCTTGAGGCCTCGGTGAACCTGATAGGACACACCTGAGGGGAAGCCATCACACAGTCTGAAGGCTTTGGCCATCAGTGTAGAAGACACAGGTCCTCAGCTCTCCACAGGTGCCATTATGGCCAGAGCCTCCTCTCTGCATGGGTAGTGAGGCTTGGCCCTTCCACTGAACACAGTGACAGGGATCTCTCCAGAGGTGGAGATATTATTCCTCCCCTAAAATGGTTTAACCTCATGCTTTTTCTGCTTTACAGGAAAGCTGACTCTGGCTGGTGTCCAGTGAAGAAATCCCAGGCACACAGGAGGGACAGGTGGATTTCAGGGCTGTGCTTGATCTGGGAAAGGAAGAGGACTGATCACCAGGTGGCGCCATTGTGCTGCTCCTGCACCTAGAAGGTGGACTCTGGGGCTGAGCTGCAGGGTGGGGAGAGGATGTCATTCCTCATTTTCCAGGTTCCAAGTAAAAACCCTCCTGCCCTGCCCATCCGGTTCTTCCTGAATCCTCAGTCTAACAAGGACTATGTTTTCTTTTTTTTTTTTTTTTTTAACTTTAAGTTCTGGAATACATCTGCAGAACATGCAGGTCTGTTACATAGGTATCCATGTGTCATGATGGTTGCTGCTCCTATTAATGCTCTCCCTCCCCTTCTGCTCCACCCCCTGACAGGCCCCAGTGTATGATGCTCCCCTCCCAGAGTCCATGTGTTCTCATTGTTCAACCCCCATTTATGAGTGAGAACATGCAGTGTTTGGTTTTCTGTTCCTGTGTTAGTTTGCTGAGAATGATGGCTCCCAACTTCATCCATGTCCCTGCAAAGGACATGAACTCATTCTTTTTTATGGCAGCAAGAACTGTCTTTTTCTCAGACAGGTCTTTTTGACCAGGCAGGCCTTTTTGACTCAGAAAAGTGGATGTGATTGTTAGGTTAACCACATCCTGGTTTATTGTGTTGCCAGTAAAATGAAATCAAAATACACACCTCATAAGTTATAAAAGAACCCATAATAAGCACATATTTATAATGTAATGACACAACTGAGGTTCCTCTAAGTGTGGGCACAGCTGCAGACACACCTTGCCCCTTGAGTCAAGACACTGGTTAGAGAAAAATGGGAAGAAACCCCACTCACTGCAAAAAGGGCCCCAATGGAAGAGGCCTGGCAGGGGAGTCTGCTGTCCCAGGTCCACCATATTTGTGGATGACTCCCCCTTCTGGGAAGGACTTTTTTTACAAAAATTATTTTTATATCCACTTTAGTTCTGAAATTGCAGAGTGTCCAGACCCAGCACTGGTCGGTTATACTATCTCTTTCTTCCCTATAAAATGCTGTGCCAAAGGGAGCCCTTATACACTCCTATCCTCTTCCTGGAGAGGACCAAGACAATAATGAACAACATTGAAACATATAAACTTACTTTAAATATGTGCTGTCAGAAGTAGCTACTGAAAGATTGATTCCACCAAAATGAGGGAAGGTAAAGAAAGAAAAACCATCTGCACAACCATGTCCATAGCAGCATTAGTCACAACAGCCACGAAATGGAGGCAACCAAAGCACCACCTAACAGATGAATTGATCAAAAAAATGTGGTACATGCAGACAATGGAATATTATTTATCCTAAAAAGAGGAAATCCTGTTCTACGCTGCACTATGGACGAACCTGGAGAACATGGCTAAGTGAAATAAGCCAATCACAAAGAAGCTCCAATACTGCACAATTCCATTTATATGAGGTGTCTGAACCCTTAGAACCTGAAAGTAGTATGGTGATTGCCAAGGGCTGGGTGGGGGGAATGGGGATTAATGAGGAGTTTTTGTTCAATGAGCATAGAGTTTCAGTTTTGAAAGATAAAAAGTTATCGGGATCTGTGGCACAACAGTGTGCTTACAGATAACACTACAGTACTGCACACTTCAAAATAGTTAAGATACCAAATTTTATGTAATATGTTTTCTGGCACAATGAAAAAAAAATCCCTGTTACTAATTGAGGACAAAAAGCCCATACATTCATTAAAAATATGCTAGTGTATGCTCACCATGAAGAAAGTGATACAGAAAACCATGAGAGATCCTTGCTATCATCCATGAACCAGCAGATTCGGCATCTCATGTAACGAGACAGAAAGACTCAAAGGCTCAGTCTTGACATCTTGAAGCAGTTTGAATTTTGGAAGGACCCCAGGTGGCTCCACTTCATGTAAAAGCACTGTCCCAGACGGTGGTGGAGGGACATCCTAGGATGGTGGCTCTGCTCATAGGTAGAAGCCTCCATTTCATATGGGAGAATATCAGAAGGGCCCAGGAGTGATATTTCCAAGAAAGTAAAATTAATAGAATGCCCAAAGTTTCTAACTTATCGAAAGAGTCATACAAACAAGAGATATCAAAGTTAAATTAATAAGAGTTATTTAGAAAATAAACAAAAACAAGGCAAGTATTAACTCCAGGAGGAACAAATGTGCCAGAAGTGAGAAGTATTAAAGTTGACATGTGAGAATATTAGTCATGGAAAAGGAAACACGGCATGACTGAACTACACATAATTACTATATAATACACTGGGAAGAGGAAGGAATGGGAAGGGTGAAAGAGAACAAGTGCTCTAACTGTTGCACCCGCCCACCACTGTGCTGGGCAACAATGGCTGCGACTGAAAAAAAAAAAAAAAAAGCAGTATTAATAAGGAAATGGTACTTAGAGATACGGAGGTCAAGTCAAAAAAGTCAGCTAAGAACGTTGAAAGTATTTGCTCCCTAGAAAAGCAGAGATTGGGCCGGGCGCTGTGGCTCAAGCCTGTAATCCCAGCACTTTGGGAGGCCGAGGCGGGTGGATCACGAGGTCAACAGATCGAGACCATCCTGGTCAACATGGTGAAACCCCGTCTCTACTAAAAATTACAAAAAATTAGCTGGGCACGGTGGCGCGTGCCTGTAATCCCAGCTACTCAGGAGTCTGAGGCAGGAGAATTGCCTGAACCCAGGGGGCAGAGGTTGCGGTGAGCCGAGATTGCGCCATTGCACTCCAGCCTGGGTAACAAGAGTGAAACTCAGTCTCAAAAAAAAAGAAAAAGAAAAAAAAAGAAAAGCAGAGATTGGTAAGAAGCACAGAAGGCACTCATTTTTCTCAAGGAATCCTGTGCAAATATTTGACTCTTTCAATTATGGACAATTGTAAATTTGATTGAAATAAAAGCAAAAAACTTCAATGAATATGCAAGTTTATGCCTAATGACAACTGTATTCAACAATGATATAACTAAATATAATTATAATTATATTTTAATTATATTATATTATATATAATATACATAATAATTATATTATAATTTAATTATATTTAGTTATAACAATATAACAATGATATTACTAAAACATAAAAATAACACAGTCATGCATAAATGTGTATGTAACATTCAACTCTGAATAAAAACATGAAAGAATATGTCGATAAACACATCTCTGGATGAATAGCCCACAAATGAATTCTCTACCCCATCTCATTTATTGGTTGCCCTGTGAACTGAGGCAGCGGGTATCAAGACCTAAGGTCTCTCATCCTTCTCTTGCTTCCGGGCAGGTCCTGCATCCACTCCTACTGCACAGAGGGCTCTCATCCCTGCCTTGCAACTGTTTTGACAGCCCTGCCACCTCACTGACGCTCTTAGAAGGACCCTGATAGGAGAAGATGTTGATGCTTGCTGTACTCATCCAGATTCCCAGTTCATTTATTCTTCATCAATTTTGTCCACACCTCCCGAGCACGCACTTCACTCCAGAAGCAGACTGACCCTATTCTTATTTTATTGCCCACAATTCTTTTTCTTTTCAATCTTTGTGAGTACATGGTAGATTTATTTCTTCATGGAGTACATGAGATGTTATAATACAGACATGCAATGTACAATAATCACATGACAGAGAATGGGGTATCCATCCTATCAAGCATTTATCCTTAGTGCTACAAACAATTCAATTACATGATTTTAGTTACTTTAAAATGTACAGTTAAGTTTTATTGACTGTAGTCACACTGTCATATAATCAAATAGTCATATTCATTCATTCTATATTTTTGTAAGCATTGACCATTTCCACCTCCCCTCTACCACCTTTCCCAGCCTCTAGTAACCATCAACCCACTTTCTATGCCTGTGAGTTTCATTGTTTTGATTTTTACATCCCACAAATAAGTAAGACTATGCAATGTTTGTTCTTTTGTGCTTATTTAACTTAACATAATGATTTCCAGTTTCATCCATGTTGTTGCAAATGACAGAATCTCATTCTTTTTATGGCTGAATAGTACTCCATTGTGTATATACTGCATTTTCTTTATCCATTAATTTGTTGATGGACACTTTTGTTGCTGCCAAATCTTAGATAGCGTGAACAGTGCTGCAGCAAACAAGGGAGTGTAGTTGTATCTTTAATAAATTAATTTCCTGTCTTTGGGGTATATACCCAACAGAATTGCTGGATCATATGATGGCTCTACTTTTAGTTTTTTGAGGGATCTCCAAACTGATCTTCATAGTGGTTGTACTCATTTCCATTCCCACCAACAGTGCACGAGGGTTCCCTTTTCTCACCAGTGTTTGTTATTGCCTGTCTTTTGGATAGAAGCCACTTTAACTGGGGTGAGACGACAATTCACGGCTTTGATTTGAATTTCTCTGTAGTTTCATGATGTTAAACATCTTTTCATATGCCTGCCTGCCATTCGTATGTCTTCTTTTCAGAAGTGTCTATGCAAATCTTTTGCCCATTTTTGAATGGATTATTGCAATTTTCCCTGTGGAGTTGTTTGAGCTCCTTGTGTATTCTGGTTATAAATCCCTTGTCAGTTTAGCAGTTTTCAAATATTTTCTTCTATTCTGTGGTTGTCTCTCCACTTTGCTGATTGTTTCCTTTGCTGCGCAGAAGCTTTTTAACTTGATGTGATTCCATTTGTCCATTTGTGTTTTAGTTGCCTGAACTTGCGGTGTATTGCTCAAGAAATTCTTTCCCCAACAAATGTCCTGGAGATTTTCTCAATGTTTTCTTATGGGAGTTTCATAGTTTAAGGCCTTGAAGTCTTTAATCAATTTTGATCTTATTTTCATATATGGCAAAAGATACGGGTCTAGCTTCATTCTTCTGTATATGGATCTCCAGTTTTCCCAGCACTGTTTGTTGAAGTGATTTTCTTCAGTGTATGCTCTTGATACCTTTGTCATAAATGAGTTCATCGTACGTGTGTGGACCTGTTTCTGGACCCTCTGTTCTGTTACATTGTCCTATGTGTCTGTTTTTCTGTCAGTGCCATGCTGTTTTGGTGACTATAGCTCTAATATAATTTGAAATCAGGTTATGGGATTACTCCAGATTAGTTCTTTTTGCTTAGTACTGCTGTGGCTATTCTGGGTCTTTTGTGGTTCCATATAAATTTTAGAATTTTTTTCTATTTCTGTGAAGAATGCCGTTGGTATTTTGATAGGGATTGCATTGAAATCTGTAGATTGCTTTGGGTAGTATGGACATTTTAACAATATTTATCCTTCCAACCCATGAACATGGAGTATTTTTCCATTATGTAGTGTCCTCTTCAATTTCTTTCATCAGTGTTTTATAGTGTTTATTGTAGA